GCAGCCTCTTTCGGGGGTGGGGGTTGGGGTTTGGGGGGAGGGAACTTGTGCTTGGTTGCTAGGCAACCTAGTTCTTAGCATGTAGCATTTGGTTAGTAAAAGCACTTTCGCTAAGAGTAATTTGCACAAGAAGCCTGGCACCTATCTCGCACCTGGCCTTGTCAGAATCTCCTTAGGTCAATGGGAAGTAACTACCTTAACTCAGTAACTAGCAAATAACTTGTCAGAATCTCCTTAGGTCAATGGGAAGTAACTACCTTAACTCAGTAACTAGCAAATAACTTGTCAGAAATCTCCTTAGGTCAATGGGAAATAACTACCTTAACTCAGTAACTAGCAAATGACTTGTCAGAAATCTCCTTAGGTCAATGGGAAATAACTACCTTAACTCAGTAACTAGCAAATAACTTGTCAGAAATCTCCTTAGGTCAATGGGAAGTAACTACCTTAACTCAGGAACTAGCAAATGACTAAAACACCATTTCAGGAATGTGAGCAGTAAATCTCTTCAATTAGAATCTTATGTAAATAACCCGGAGTGAGGGTAAGGAGTTGAGGGTTTAATTGCTAATGGTTATTTTCTCTATCTGTGGGTGAGATGAGCTAATGTTTTTCTATCTGCATTTGTCCTAGGATAAAAAGATATCTTAACTAAAATACTTTTCTCGGGGAATGGCCCTGACCAGATATATGTAAATGAAGAATAAACACAGCTGGGGACAGTTATCCCATTACCCCAAATGTATGGGAGAAGTTGTGCCCATAAGGTTGATACGCAATCATGAGATTACATGTGCACAGACCCTGGAGATTCAGGGTAAATGGGGAGAATCATAGCTGTTATTGCACAAGAGGTTTACAACATGAGACAGCCAGTTCATTCAAAAGGCAGTAATTCCATAACTGAACAGAACCCTTAGTTCTGATAGGTTGACCTTCTGAACTCCAGTTGTCACCTGCTGTATACTCCCATGGTCTTTTGCTACCAAGGGCTCTCAGTATTACCACAGTAAATATGACAAGTGCATGGGAAAGCAAACAAAGAATAGGTGGTCACACTCTCCCCACCCCCAGATTCAGATGTTCCCACTAAAAAGGCGAGCTGCTAGCAAGCCAGATTTTAAATGTGGTTATTAAAGAAAGAATCGAGAGTAACTTCATTCTCCTATCCTAAGTATACAATAAAGAAGTCCACTGCAAATGACAAGGTCTCTGCACATTGTGTTCACAGTTAGAAGGGATAAAAATACCCACTGGAGGGTCTCAGCTGGAAGGAGCACAGGACGAATGCTGCAGACTTAGGCAACTAAACACGATTTGCTGTGGCTAGACTCCAGGGCCCCTCCGTCCATTCGGTGGGCCTCTTGCTCTCTAGAATGGGAAAGGAGGTAGGCATTCTTCAAAAAACAAACCAACTAAAAGAAAAGAAAAACCAACTGCATGGAAGTTGGCCGGGTCAGTCTGCCGTCACTGTTTGTTAGACTTCTTTGCCTGGTTTTCCCCGTTTCCATGGTGTCAGTGGACTAGGAGTCAGCTCAAAGAGATAGCAGTCTAGAAAGCAGCTCATCTCCTGGGGAGAGTCCAGGAGATGGGGCATCTCCACTCCGTGGAATCTTTCAGGGTCTCAGCCTCTTTCTTTAGGGTGCTTTCTCCCTGTTAGGTTTTCAGGTTCAAGAGGAGAAGAGGGCACCGAGTCGAGCTGACAGTAGGCCAGAGTTTCGTTAACCGCTGTCAGGCAGGCAGCACAACACAGTAAGGGTCTCAAGAGGGAAGTTCCAGGCCCCTCTAGTAGGGAGAGCAGAGCCTGTTCCTGTAGATCCCTGGTGAGGGGAGTAAAGAGGAAGGGCTGTATCTCAAGGAACTGGGTCCAAGGTCCTCTGATAACACCTAACTAGACTAAGATACAGGATGTTTTCTTTCTTTCTGGCATAAACAAGTGCTTGAAAGTCCCAAGGACATTTCTGAACAAGTGCTTCTCGAAGAACAAAGGGCCTAGTTAGTACACGATAGGACAGTGGTCCTGTCTTGCCTGCAGTCCTCCATGTAGGGCTCTGCTACCTGGAGGGGCTCTTTACCAGGGATGGGAAGACTAACTCCCTGCCTACATGCTCTCTCAATTGTGGGAGAGAGAGAGAGAGGGAGAGAGAGAGAGAGAGAGAGAGAGAGAGAGAGAGAGAGAGAGAGAGAACAACAGGCCAGGGGAGAAGTTCCCAACATGGAAATGGGACAGAGGGGCAGCAGTCAAGACCAATCACATCTCATTGGTGAGGTGTAGCGTGCCATAATCAGGCACAGAATCACCTTAGAATGATGTCAGCCTGTGTGAGAGGAGCGAGCTGCAAGTTGCGGGTGTCGGGGGAGAGGGTCAGAGGCCATCTCTTGAATTTACCAGAGGGGAAATACTGAGAGTCAGTCATTGTGTGGGCTACTCGTGGACATTTTTAAGATAGCCCAGACTTTCCACGTCATCTCATGCCCCCTGCTAGACAGGGCCAGGAAGGGTTTTGATCATCACACAGACCCTGTGTCTCCTCTGAACTTGTTGAAACTACTTACAATCCAGTTCATTCCACATGCTGCCCCCAGTATCGCTCATAACACCCTACTGCATTGAACGAACTCTATTATTATCAATGTCAGAACAGAGTGGATTCTCCCCAGAGTGGACCTTCAACTCCCAGAGAGTAGAGCCTGTGTCTAGAACTCTCTACTTCTGCCTATGGCCTGTGCCACAGCTTTGTTCCAGTTGGCTCAGATAATCTCTGCACCCCTGGAATTAACAGGCTCAATCATTGAGGAAAAGTGGTTCAGGATGGAGGCCGGACATGGAAGCCTTGACTTTACCCATGCTCATCTGTTGCCTGTTCAGATACATCACTGAGTTTTCTAATAGCCAGCCCATGGGCAGCCAAAGGACCTCTGCCTCTCTCTCTCCTCCCTCTCAGCCTCAGGTACTCCCCAACTTCATGGAAATGGCCAAGTATTTACTCGTTCCTCTGACTCCCCACTGAGCTAAGTTTTGACTTCATGACGACCGACCCTGAGCCGCGAGTTGTATACATGTGTTCCTTGTATACACATGTGAACATGTGTATGTGGAGGTTAAAGGTTGACCTCTGGTGTCCTTTTGCGTGTAGTTTTTGAGACTGCTGTCTCACAGATCCTGGAGTCTGCTGAACCAGCTAGACTGGCAGCTGGAATCCTGCTGCAGCCTGTGTCTCCACCTCCCCAGCACTGGGTTTTCTAAGTGCCTGCCGCCATGACAAACTTTCCCATGTGGGTTAGCACTGAGATCCTAAAGTTGGTCTGGAAAATACTTATCAAGTGAGCCATCCCTCCTGCCACCTGGAATCTGTTTTTAAAATTCGTTTATCACTGATGCTAAGAACCTGAAAAAGGGAGCTTTGGTTCTCGGGTGACATTGGTAGGATTTTGTCTTTGAGTTTTAACCCCACGTGCCACAATGACTAGAAAGACATTTGAGCCACCCTCTTGTACCCAAACACACATGATTCAGGAGCCTGGGCCAGGGCTGAAACCAATGAGCTGGACAGCTGAGACTTTGACTCTTAGGTGCTTGGGTCCTCTGCAGAGTCCTTCAAGGTCCTCTCTGGACAGAATCCTGTTGTCCCTTAGGATCAGGAGAGGTATCTGGTCCCTCCTGGCCACTGTGCTGTTGAGTTCAGGATTCTGTCCATGGTGGTGGGAACCTTTCAATTTCACAAGCCCTCTGTATCTGATTCTTGGATCTAGCTCACAAATATGGCCAAAGTACTCATTAATTTATTAATTACTAGCTTGATGGCCAAAGGGCTGGGTCCTGGTGGTGATCTGAATGAGAATGTCCCCTATAGGCTCATATGTTTGAGTGCCCGGTCCCCACTTAGTGAAACTGTTTGGGAAGGATTAGGAGGTGTGGCCTTGCTGGAGGAGGTGTGTCCCTGGGGGTCTGCTTTGAGATTTCAAAAGTTCATGCCCTTCCTAGTTAGTTCTCTCTCTCTCTTTCTGCCTCTTGCTTGTGAATCAGATGTAAGCTCTCAGCTACTGCTCCGGCACCATGCCTGCCTGTCTGGTTATCTCTGCCATGCTCCTCACCATGATAATCATGGACTCTCCCTCTGAAACTGTAAGCCCTCATTAAATGTCTCTTCTGTAAGTTGCTGTCTTAGTTGGGGTTTTCATTGCTGTGAACAGACACCATGCCCACAGCAACTCTTATAAAGGAAACATTTAGTTGTGGGGACGACTTGCTTACAACTTCAGAGGTTCAGTCCATGATCAGCATGGCAGGGAGCATGATGGTGTGCAGGCAGAGGTGATGCTGGCTGACAGGCCTTGCATCTTGACTTGACTCGGAGGCAACAGGAAGTCGACTGAGTGAAGGTTGAGAAAAGAGACCGCAAAGCCTGCCCCCACAGCGACACACATCCTCTAAGAAGGCCACACCTCCTAATAGTGTCACTCCTTCTGGGGGCCATTTTCTTTCAAACCACCACAATTGCCTTGGTCATGGTGTCTGTCACAGCCTCCAAATCCCCCGAAGAGACACAGAGACTGTTTACTCTTCTGTTTGACCCTTTCCGGGGCAGTTTCCATTTCCCGGCTCCTGTACCTGCAGGTTGTGCGGACAATAAAGTCTGCAGTTTGTTAGGTTGGCAGAGTCCTTTCTTCCAGTGACGGGTACAAGAATAGACTCTCAGGTTGAGAGAATGCCTTTTTATGCATGCGTTGAGATCGGAGCCTCCCTGAATGACAGATTCCCACAGTCTAGGTGCGAAAACCCATCTACAAGAAAAGGAGAGGGGCAGAACGGGACTGTCTCCAGGGATACCGCCAACTTCCTGAGGATCCAGCAGGTGGCAGACGGGAGCAGGCCTGACTTTGGTATTTGAAAACTCAGCCCCGCCTCCGGATATTAGCCCCCGGGTTTGGATTGGCTTTTACTCCCCTCAGTCACGGTGGGTTGGGCTTTAAGGCTCCGTGGTTGGCTCCTGCAGGGGCGGGGCGGGGCAGAGCCGCTCTGGAACTGCTCTTCGATTCTTCGCGCTGTGCGCTGCTATCAGAAAGTGGAGTCTTTTCTGACCGTGGCCTGACTGCACAGTGTCCAAGGCTGGAATAGAAATCATGCCCGTGACTCTGGGTTACTGGGATATCCGTGGAGTAAGTGAAAGGCTGGGCCGCTAGGTGGGAAGAGCCCAGGGTCAGAACACAAAGGAAGATTCCCATCAGGTTTTTCTTGAGCCCTTTGCCTGTCTTTGTCAGAACCACCCTGCCCAGGCCCTCCTCTCTCCTTGCCTCCCTCCCTGTCCTCCACCTCTCTTTTTAGTAAAAGATGGGGAGGCTTTCCTAGAGGAGGTGAGGTCAACTTAGGATCTCACTAGCCGTGACTTGTTACCGACCATCTCTCACAGCTGGGTCACGCCATCCGCCTGCTCCTGGAATACACAGAGACAGACTACCAAGAGAAGAGATACTCCATGGGGGATGGTAATGACATTCTTCTGGTCAGACTCTTCCCCAACTCTGCCCATCGATGCCCAGTAGCTTCTGCCTGGTTCCCTGTTTCTCAGCTCCGTGGTTCTCCTCCAGATGAACCTATAGCTTACCCCTTCCAGAAATCTCCTGCTGGTGCAGCTTTGTTTTTCAGTACAGAATCTTGCTGGTGGTATGCTGGCCCTTTTCCTGTAACTGGGGGAGGTTCTCCCAGTCCTGGCCTAGCGCTCTTGTAATTCTTAGTCATGCAAGGCCCACAGCCACTAAGGCACTATTCAAATACTCAGCTTTGGGGTGAAAGATTTACCGGGTCAACCTGCATATTCCCTGCACAAGGAGGCAGTCCTGCCCTCGACTCTTTGGGAGGGTTCTGGGGAAGGAGGCTTAGACTCAGGTGATCTCTTTTCACATCGTCTTGTCTACAGCTCCCGATTATGACCGAAGCCAGTGGCTGAGTGACAAATTCAAGCTGGGCCTGGACTTTCCCAATGTAGGTGCAGGGAAGGGGGGTGGGGTGGGGAAGGCATGGTGTCCTCGCCTCATCTCCTTGCCTGGCTGAGGGGGTTGGGATCAGTGCTTCTGCTCACCTGCTCCCACTCCTGGTGGCTGCACAGTGTTTCTGTGATGGGCTGTGTCCCGGCTCCCCCTTTCAGTATGCAGGGTGAGCTCCATAGAGGGCTCACCATGCCAGGCCCACGGAGTGCCAGGCTTCACGTCTGCGCCGACCTAGGGAAGCAATGAACAGACCCCACATCACATCTGACCATCCCTGCTTGTCCATCCAGCTGCCCTACTTAATTGATGGATCACACAAGATCACCCAGAGCAACGCCATCCTGCGCTACCTTGCCCGCAAGCACAACCTGTGTGAGTGGGGCCGGCTGCAGGGTGGGGCACGGTGGCCATCCCCCTGGGCTTGGCTGGTGTGGGATGCTGAGAGTGAGTCTATGCTGTGTGTGCTGCAGGTGGGGAGACGGAAGAGGAGAGGGTTCGTATGGACATTTTGGAGAACCAGGCCATGGACAGCCGCATCCAGATGGGCATGCTCTGCTACAGTCCTGACTTCGTGAGTCCCCACTGCATGGCATAGACTGGGTTTGCAGGAGTTAAGGGCTTGTGTTCATACCCACACTTGTCCTCTTTGGACCCACCCATTCTGAACTGCCAAGCTTTCCTATCCTACCAACAGGTTGAGCTCCCAACCCAGCCTCATTTTGTCAATAAACACCATGTATCAATTCCAAGAAGTTTTGAGGTGTTGTGACACCAATGGTTGAGAATTCCTTTCCTATATAGTAAATTCATATGTTCGGTTCTCTTCGACTTTGGCCTTGACCACGGCCATGTACCACCTTGTCTAGTTCACATACCAACTACCACTCCTGGAGTTCACAGATGAAACCCAGATGGAAAGAAGTCATGGGTGTTCAGAAATGTACCCAACAGTTTTCCCAGAGTTGAGTCCTCAGTAGCAGCAAAAAGCAGGGCCTCTTGCTAAAAGGCAGCTTATGATCAGCTGGAGGACCACTGTCCTTTCAACATCCAACACTGTTCAACTGTATTCGCCCTACTCAGATACTGTTTGAGTATTTGTCCTTGTACCATCTCTTAGAACTCTTCTCTTCTCTTGAAATTGTTAAATATGTTGCTTTTCTGCTTCTACTGGACCTCTGGGTCAAGAAGCTACCAGCTACCCAGGAAGTCCTAGATTAGATGTCAATCATAACAGACGGGACAGTGTGGCATTCCCATATAACTTCCAATCACCCCTGAGAGATGAAGCCTGCTAGCAGATAGGAGTCCAACCATTAAAATAGTGAGGCATTAAATGGTATAGGTCCAGGATTAAGAAAGTGCCTACTCCTTTGCCCAGCCCCGAAAAGTCATACTTTCTCCCTTGGGGACTGTATGAGGGTTGTGACAGCTGTTTTCTACCTCAGGAGAAACGGAAGCCAGAGTTCCTGAAGGGCCTCCCAGATCACCTGAAGCTCTACTCTGAGTTCCTGGGGAAGCAGCCATGGTTTGCAGGGGACAAGGTAAAAAGGGTAACTGGTGAGGAGGGGGAGTTGCCATTCTTCCCAGATTACCAGATCCCATCTCACTGACCCTGCTTCCTGCAGATCACCTATGTGGATTTCCTTGTCTATGATGTCCTTGACCAGCACCGTGTATTTGAACCCAAGTGCCTGGATGCCTTCCCAAACCTGAAGGACTTCTTGTCCCGCTTTGAGGTGATGCCCTGGTCCTCCTTCCTCTTGGCTGTCCTTCCCTGCCCCCTTTCCAGGATGCTTCCCTATTCTGAGGGTTAAAAGAAGAATAACAAGGATCTATTGAGCACTGGCTTTCTGCCAGGACCTGTGATCAGCCGCTTAGATCTGTGGAGTCCATTTATCATTGCAACAGCTGGCCACCTGGATAGAATTAGATGTCCCACTGGACCGATAAGGAATCTGGAGGGCAAGCTGCTTACTCAAGGTCCTAGTGCCAGCAGAGACTGTTCTGGGCTCCTGACTGCCTTTGGCTTCTAAAGGCAGCATTCAGTGTCTGTCTCTGATTTGTGCAAAAAGGAAAGTCAGGCCTTTGCACATCCTGGGTTTCCTGCCCAGGACTTGTGGTATGCAGAACATGTGAAGAATGTGTTTGTTCCTGCAGCCATTAGGCTGAGACCAAGGCAGACTGATGTGCAGCACCAAGACATCCTCAGTGGTCCTGCCTGATCTGCAGAATGGTTTAGTCAGTTCATGTTCCTGACTAGGGCAGCATTGTGATCCTGGCTGTTCCCGTGGAAGATTTTATCTTGAGTTCTGTTGGCGGGTGGGTGGGTGTGCTTTTTTTTTTTTAGGATTCATTTATTATGCACACAGTACTCTCCCTGCATGCATGCCTTCAGGCCAGAAGAGGGAGCCAGATCTCATTACAGATGGTTGAGAGCCACCATGTAGTTGTTAGGAATTGAACTCAGGTCCTCTGGAAGACCAGCCAGTGCTCTTAACCCCTGAGCCATCTCTCCAGCCCGATGGGTGTGCTCTTGCCTCCTTTCTTCTTTCATATCTCATGTTCCTCTATGAGATGAGGTCATACTTTTATTTTCATTCAGATTCTTTGGAATTTTCCCCTGTGTGCGGCACAGGGTCAGGCCCAGCAGGACATGCGATAATGTCCCTCCATCCTGGGGCTGAGTGCAGCTGGAAGCAGTAGGCAGGGCAGAGATGCATGTGGTATTAGTGGTGGCCCTCATCTCACAGTTGCTCATAGCCATGCTGAACTCTCTGATTGGACACGAACAAGAGCTACTTTTTTTTCCAGATTTGTGTATTGGAGCCTTTAGTACAGCAACAGATCTCAGCCTGGAAGCGTTTCTCCTTCTCCTCCACTCTCCATGAAGGGATGCATTTATTTTTCAGTTAGTTCTCACCAGCTCTGGTTCTGGTCCACATGGCGTGACCTTGGGAGTGTGCAAGAGGTGACCTGGCTGAGAAATGGGGTGTTTGTCGGGTGCGGAAGCCCTTGTTCTGAGCACAGATGGGGGTGGCTTGTTGGGGTAGCTCTGGCTCTCTGTTGGTCTTTAGAAATGATCTGCGCACTTTTGCTGAGGTGTCCTGGAACACACTCCACTGCCTCAGAGCTAGAGATGAGGTTGGTTGGGGCTCAGGGAGAGTGCTCAGGGCTCACACTGGAGCTGGCCACTTCCTGCTCTGCATCCCCGTCTCCCTCTCCACTCACACTCAGGGTTTACTGAATCTCACTGGGCAGAACCTGGGCTCCCTTCTGAGCCCCATGCAAGTTCTCAGCCCTGTTGGTTTTCTGGCTCCTTGCTTCTTTTCATCATAGGGCAGACATGAGTGACAGTGCCCCCTATGGGAGGCAGGAGGGAGGTGCACAGAGAGCAGAGTGGCAGCCACAGCTGGGCTGAGTCTTTTAGCCATGGGAGAATGAGGAAGTTTCTTAACCTCTGGGTACCTCAGCATCCCTGCTGAATGGTGATGGTGGAACTGGTTTTGCAGGGTGGTTGGGTGGATTTTCTAGATCTGGCCTTTAAAGTCTCTTAGATGTTCCTAGAGTGAGTTTGCCCACCTGACGTCCTTCTTTCTCCTTCCTGCTACAGGGCCTGAAGACGATCTCTGCCTATATGAAGAGCAGCCGCTTCCTCCCAAGGCCTGTGTACTTAAAACTGGCCACATGGGGTAACAAGTAGGAGCCCGCACTGCTGGTACTGGTAGGGAGACCTGTCATGCACCCGGCGCCCTGGACGCCCTGGACACTGACTGGGCTGCAGCTAGCTTCCAGTAACTTCTCTGCATCAGTCCTTCCGTTTCTTTCTCTGTGTTTTCATTACCTTCCCCTCTACAAGAATGCTTGTCTCCTGTTTCACACAGCCTCTTCTCACTCACTCAAGCCTCTCAATTTCAAACCACCATCCTTGGCAAGCATCTTATTGTCATGTTTCTTATCAGACGACCTTCACTGTACTCTGAGCAGCTCCGATGATGGCTTTACTCCCCATGGTTGCCCAAAGATCCATACTGCCTGGTATGCAGTTTCGGTCTCCAGACTGGGATGGCCCATCCTTGTTTGATCTCTAGTAAAGTATGAGGCATACTTGCTTTGTGTCCTGTCTTATTTCCTAGAATTCACAGGAGTGACTACATTGATGTGCAATCTTTGTTCTGTTATTCATAAGGACAGTTAGGTGATGGGAACATGGCGGATGGTGGGCTCTCAGTCAGGCAGGATGTAAGATCATGCACAGGGGTAGGAAATAAGGCTCATCTGTTAAGAGCACTTCCTATTCTTGCATAGGACCTAGATTGGGTTCCCACCACCCACACAGTGGCTCACAATGACCTGTAACCCCAGCTCCAGGGAATCTGATGCTGTCTGCTGCCTGCCTAGACTCTTGCATACACTTGGTTCACATGAACTTAGGCAAGCAGACACACATACATACATAAATAAATCCTTTTAAAAAGAGAGAGATGTTCACCTGTGTAGCGGGAATCTTAAAGAAGTCTTTATTAATAAAACAAACCCAGAGCGAAGTATTGGGGTGAACACTGGAAGATCAGAGAGACAGAACAAGCCACAGCTAACCTCACCTGGCCAACTTCTCAGCTGATCTTGTTTCCTCAGACTGGAAGCCTCTGTGTCATTCAGCTCTCAGCTGAATGAACTGTGCTACTCAAAACCTAAAAGCTTAACCAGCCAAATGCTTCTAGTTTCTGGTCCTCAAGCCTTATATACCTTTCTGCTTTCTACCACCACTCCCTGGGATTAAAGGCTCACTTTCTGGGATTAAAGGCGTGAGTCACCATGCATGGCTGTATCCTTGAACACATGGATTTCTGCCTCTGGAATGCTAGGATTAAAAGCGTGTGCTACCACTGCCTATCCTAACTATCTAGTGGCTGTTCTGTTCTCTGACCCCAGATAAGTTTATTAGGGTACACAATATTTTGAGGAACACAATACCACTACACACCTGGGATTCTTATAGGGGTCCCTCATTCATCATCCTGCAGTGTGCAGTACCTCCATTGGCCGTGTGTACCCGTGAGTCTTGCATCAGTGAGGTACCGGGCGGATTGATGGGCAGAGGGTGAGCAAGCTCCAGGTTCGATGTCTGGCCTCACCTGGAAGTCATCTCTCTCTCCAAGATGTTTTGCTATAAATAGCCCCTACTGTTGGTGATTATGCTGTGGGATCTTCAACAAATCCAATCATCAGCTCATTGAGGGTGGAGCCTGGCCTTGTTGAAACGTCGGACAGTGTCTGGCACATGGTTGAAGTTCAGGAAATTGTGAAGATTTGCTTTCAGAGATTCTTGTACCAGTGTTTGGAGGAAGAGCTCTAGAAATAACCATGAGAAATAACCTGAGAAGGCATAGAATGAGGTACAGAAGATTTTTCCATGTGGAGGTGTTGTAGTCTGAACCAGAGGCCCTCTCACACCTAAGCACTTAAGAGATTGCAATTGGCCTTGAGCAACTGAGGCGGGCGGGTCTACTTTCCTAGGCCCTAGAGCAGCAGTGTGTGATCAGAGGTACTGTCAGGTCGCCCACAAATGAGCTGGATTCACTGAAGAAGCACCCAATGAGCAGGATCCTCAGTGGCAGCCAGATCCTGGATTCTGGCCTTTGTCAAGCACTTCCTTTGACCTGCCTGTAACTAGGAACAGGTTGGAGGACAGCCCTGCAGGGCATTGTCCTTATGCCAAGTTCCAGCTGCTGCTACTACAGCAGTTAAGAAATGAGCACTCACAGGCAGGATGTGAGGTCACTGTAAAATAAGTGATTAATTAAAAGGTAAAGCTTGTAAGGTAAGAGATTATTTTCTTTATTCATTGAAGAGAAGTATTGATTAATCTGGTAACATCAAAAACCTTTAAGAAGTCAGCCTTTATTAAATACTAACTTAAACACAGATGCAACAACATCAGAAAAAAGATAAGTTAATGGAAGTATATAAACGTTAGGAAGACAGAAGTTAGAAAATACTTTCCATGATGGTCAATAGTTCCTGGCCGTGTGTGTGTGTGTGTGTGTGTGTGTGTGTGTGTGTGTGTGTGTGTGCATGCATGTGCGTGTGCACACATGAGCACCTGTATGTGGAGGTCAGAGGTTGATATCAGGTATCTCCCTCATGCTCCCTCTTCCTTACCTGTTGGGACATGATCTCTCACGGAACCTGGCACTCATTGGTTTGGATAAGCTGTCGACAGAGTAAGTCCAGAGAGTCTCCATCTCTCCAGCCTGGGGATTATAAGTTCATCACAGCAGCACTTGGCTTGACCTGTGCAAAGGACTGAAGTCATGCCCTTGTACTTGCATGGCATACAGGTACTTTGTAGACTGAGACATCTCCCCATCCTTCCCTGGTTCGTTTTTAATACCTCTGCTGGATGTCAAACCACAAAACGAATCGGTCTGGCTGTGTTCTGTTGAATATACCTGTGCATGCAAGTTACTGCAACAAAGACCAAATACCTCAAACCTGGGTACAAGATTTGAATAGACATTTTTCTAGAGGAGAATAGACATTTTTCTAGAGGAGATGTACAATTGCCAATAAGCACATAAAAGTTGCTCAAAATTGCTAATCATTGGAGAAACATAAAATGAAACTACATTGAAGATATGCCTCCGACACATCGAATGAGCCGCGGTCAAGATGGTAGACTTGCTGATTATGTGGAGTGATTGGAAGGCTTTTGCTTTGTCCCTAGGAATATAAAATGCTACAGCTACTGTGGAAATTAGACTGTTAGTAATTAGTTCCTAAAAAAAAATTACTCTATGACATACTACTTCCTTTTCTGAATACATACTCAAAGTAATTTGAAGTTCATGATTATACACACATATACACATATGTTATACATGTGTGTATATATGTGTGTGTTGCCCCATATGCTTAGGCAGAATATTATGATTGTCAGAACATATGGCAGGACTGGTTTCATTTCTGGGTAGATGAGAGTCAGAGTGTGACGTAAGGAGCTGGAGACTACATCTGCAAGGACCTGTTCCCAGTTCATCTTCTCTTATTCGGAGAGTCTCTGGGACTGGGCAGTTCTGCTCCATGGAGTCTTTTTGGGTCTCAGTCTCCTTTTATCTGCGGTCCCTCCATTCCCTAGGGCGCTTCCTCTTTGTTGAGTTTTGGGGTTTGAGAAGAGAAAGGGGTTCAAGAGAGAAGTGTTGAGTCAAATTGCCCTCAGGCTAGACCTTATCAACACCCCACGGAAGGAAGCACAGCTTGGTGGGGTTGAAGTGTGGAGTTCTGGGCTTGTTCTTTGAAGGTCCTGTGAGGACAACTGGGATGGGAGAGTGGTATTACTTGGGTTCAAGGTCAGCTGATACCACCTAACTAAACTAAGGGAGATTGCGTGCTTTTGTATTTCTTGTTGAAAAGTCCCAAGGACATTTCTGGATAAGGGCTTCTGGAAGAACAAAGGGCCTAGTTATTTTGTGATAAGACACTTGTAGTCCTTCTCTGTTCAGGGCTGTGCTATCTGGAAGGGCCCTCGGGGGAGCGAGAGACAAGCTCCCTGCCTGTGCGCTCTGTCTGACACTTCTGTCCTTAGATGAAGTTATATCTCAAGTATGGGAAAAAGAGAAAGCAAGTCCAAACCAAGGCAGGAGTTTCCGCCTACGCAGATGAGGCAGAGGCCAGACACTTCCCATGGTTGAGGCACCATTTGCTATGGCCAGTCACAGGATCAGCTAAAATGGCGCCATCTTCTGCTACATTGTACCAAGCTCAGCATGTGTGAATGGGGCTGGCTGCAGATTGTGGGGGACAAGCTAGGCACAGGTTCACAAGACAGCTCGATTTTATACTCCCTCTACAGAATACCTTACTGATTTATATTCCAAACTGAGAAGCACTCAGACCCAAGGGATACAGTCGGTGCTAGCGTTGAGTAGACATGTAGGAGCCCAGTTTCCTTTACTCTCAAGCTTGTCTTCCTTCCTTCTCGGGGTGTCTTGTTTTATATCTGAGAGATAGGGTTATGTACCTATTCTTATTGATACTCGGTGATCTTTGTATGAAGCCCAGTGAGCCATGCAAAGATGAGCCTCCATCCAGCGACTAAGTACGGCAGAGAGCAAGAGGCAGACAAATCATGGCATCACTTGGCTACCGGGAGTCACAGTAGCCTTCACGTCACAGCCAATCATGGGTCCTCCAGAGTCCGGTTGATATGTACAGAGATTTGGGTACTGGAGGCGTCAGCACGACAGGTTTGTGGTCTGGAGTCTTCTCACTATCAAATGTTCTGCTTGCTCAGATTCTCATTGGTTTGGGCTCTGATACAGGAACACCCTGGTGATTTTGCAGATATTGGCTACGGGAAGGATGGACTGGAGAGCTGAGGGCTGCAGCCCACGGCCTGCTCCACCTGCCTCCTTGGTAACAGTCAGCTCTAGGTCTCTGAACACTGTAGGAAGTATCCGAGCAGGCTCTCCTGGTGGGATGGAACAAAACACACCCAGCGTCTCATTGCACGGTCCTCTGTAGTGGGGCTGGATATGAGGCAGCTTGGGGCACAGTGAGATGGGCCTGAGGTTGCACATAGAACAGGTTGGACCCCTGCTTTCAGGAGTGATTAGAGCTGCTCAGCACTCCAAGCTGCCTCTCCTCCCTTGTGCATTTCATCCAGGGTTTGCCAGGGAAGTCACTGGCTGGGGTCTGGGCTCTCTGTTCTGCTGCACTGGCCTGTTCTGGACCTCCTTGTCCTGTTACAGGCAGTTTGTGTGTAAACCAGCCAGGAGGATGTTCCCTGTGAAGAAGGAGAGTGTCTGTGAAGACTGGAGGTGACAGGAGGGGACTGGACTGGGCAGAGAGGGCACAGAATGGGAGCCCTAGGGAGGCAGGCTGACTCAGGCCCTGTCCCATGGACTAGCTGTGTGAGCAGGAGGAAGCCACCTCACCCCTCTGGACCTCAGCTTTTGCTGATAGCTAGATCCTGCAGGATTATTAAGTGAGTTTTTTGAATCTCTAGGTTATAACCCCTCCACATCCTCCACAGTCTCCCCTTCTTTATAGGAAATTGAAGAATTTGCTTTCCAGCCTGCATTAGAGTTCACAGGGAACGGCTGTTCCTAGAGTGGAGCTATGAGGCCCCTTGGGGACATAGCCTTCCGCTCCTGCTGTCTCCTCACTCACAGAGCCTAGAGCAGATCGCTGCCTGCACGAAGACCAGTTGCTTCTCCCAGACCTGTGCTCACAAAGATGGCCACTAAATATGGACACTTGGGGCAACAACTAGGGCCTCAACAGGACATGAGGTGGGGATGAGAAGCTCATTTTCCTTGTGATGCTGGAGGTCCTCAGTAGCAGCCACTCCCCTGCCGCCCTGGCTCCACCTTCTCTTCCTTTCTTTCCTTTCTCTAACTGACCCCAAGGTCTCACCTGCCCCTTTATTGTCCCCCGATCCCTGTCCCATTCTTGCCTTTTAGAGCCGCAGCTCCTTCTTTCCCTTCAACAGAGTGGCCTCCTGAAGTGACTGTCCCTGGGGCTGGCCTGACTGTCCTGTCTGGCAGTGGCTGTGCTGTGTTGAGGAGCCTGGTGGACCTACCCCCATTACCTGCCGTGTTCCCCAGTGAGGTCCCTGCACGGCCCTGTGTGGTCCCCATAAAGCTGGAGTCACACTTGTTTTGGTTGTCAGGCCTACCAGCTCACCATTGCCTCTCAGGACTGCCTGGAGACCCGAATAGTGCCTGGTTCACAGGAATTCTAGAGGACTAAGAAGGGTACCCCCAGAGCAGGCGGCCTTCGCAGGGTCTCTGGAACACGAAGGGCACTTTCTGTGGCTGGAGAGTTGATGGTACATTCTAAGAGAGATAGGCATAGTGCTGCATATCCTTAATCTCAGTCCTTGGGAGCTGAGGCAGGAGAACTGAGGCTAATTCATGGCCAGCCTGGGTTACCCAGAGTTCAAAGCCCAGACTCTGAAACCATCAAAAAAAAAAAAAAAAAAAAAAAAGGACAAAGAACAGTTGTTTCTCAGGAATTTGGGGCTAGGTTTTCAAGTGTTGTAAAGAGAAATGTGTTCCGTCAATTGTCATAAATTACAGGTTCACATGAATGGCCTGGCTGGGAGTCGGCACAACAGAAGTGATTATAAATCACAGCTCCTCAGTGTCTTACTCACCCCCAGGATGATGTTGGAGAGAAAGAAAATGAGATCTTGGGCTAGGAAGGACCGAGGTTGGGGGAGGGACCTGAACAAGGGAGCAGTTAGGGTACATAGGAGATACGTGTACTTTTTCTATTATGAATTTTCTCAAAATAAAAAAATCGGGAAAAACAGATATATTTACCACATGATCCAGGACACAAACATGCACACACCTAGTTGTGTAAGTTCCATTAGAAAGACTTATCTTGCATGCGTGAATATATTTACATTATCATGTTTTCCAGTTCTTCAATTTTCATGTATTCACAATACAAGAAATAACTTTGCCCTCTGGACACATTTGTGAGGGTTCAAGGCCTTCTGAATTGTCATCTCTAGGCAGCCCCACAACAAAAAGAGCGTGGAGCCACTAACCAGGAGCAGGCAAGTCCAGTCCCGCTTTTTGCTTTAGGCGTCCAGCCAGCCACTGCACAGTATCTGAGCTCAGACTGCATTGGCTCTCAGCCGTCCCTTGGAGGTTGGCCTGGCCCTCCCCCTGGACTCCGGTATTGGTCGAAACTAGGGGTGGGGAAGGGCGGTCTGAAGACCTGACAAAGCCAAGTCCTGCTCCCCGGCCACTCTCAGAAAGTCGAGGCTAATCAGACACTGAGCCTATTCTTTCAGACCACAGCACCATGCCCATGACCCTGGGTTACTGGGACATCCGCGGGGTGAGTGAGGGGTCTGAATGCAGAGTAGGACTTGGAGGGGGGGGGGGGTAAGGACACACGCAGTAGATGGGTTTGCTGAGGAGGATTGTCTGCCAGAAGACAATCTGTGGAGGCATGCTCTTGCAGGGGTGTGTGTGTGTGTGTGTGTGTGTGTGTGTGTGTGTGTGTGTGCATGTGCGTGTGTGTCCATGCATGGAGATGGCAAAATTAGGACAGGGAGGTGGGGACTCATCTGGAGAGAGTAAAGAATCTCACCCTCTCTGATGGTCTCTCACAGCTGGCCCATGCCATCCGCATGCTCCTGGAGTACACAGACTCAAGCTATGAGGAGAAGAGATACACCATGGGGGACGGTGACTGCACCTTCCTAGCCAGATTCCTGCCCAACTCCTGCCCATTGGTGCCCAGCAGCCCACGTCTAGGCCCCTTATTGCTCAGCTCTTCCTCTTCTTGTTGGATCTAGACTATGTCCCTTCCAGAACCCTTAATTGTGGGCTTGGCTCTACCAATGGAAGATGCTGAGGAAAGATTAGTGGGTCCTCTGTATATATAACTGGGCTCCATTTCCTTAGCACTTGGCTAAATCTTTTGTAAGCTTTAGTGATGATGAAGGAGCCTACAGCCCTTACAAACATCTTCATCCTTGCAGTGTGAGACTGCGGGAGTCAGCTTGCAGGTCTACCGCCTCAGAGAGCCTTGTCTCTGACTCCTTAGGAGGGTCTTGGGAAAGGGGATTGAACACATGCGTCCTTTGATTTTATATTATCTTGTCCACCACAGCTCCTGACTATGACCAAAGCCAATGGCTGAATGAGAAATTCAAGCTGGGCCTGGACTTTCCCAATGTAGGTGCTGGGAAGGGGAGGTTTGGGGAAGGTGATGGTGTCCTTATTTTGTACAGATCAGGAGGTCTGGGATCGGCCCTTCTGCTCTCATCTGCCCATCCCTGCCCACATCATCTTTCTGGGATGGGCTGTATCCCAGCTCTTCCACTCAGTGTGCGTTGTGTTCATGGAAAGTTTTCCATGTGAGGCACATTGAGTACCAGGCCCCATTTCTGTCCTCACCCAAGGGAGGGATGCAGGGACTTCATATCCCATCTGACCATCCTTGCTTGTCTATCCAGCTGCCATATTTAATTGATGGATCACACATGATCACCCAGAGCAACGCCATCCTGCGCTACCTTGCCCGCAAGCACAACCTGTGTGAGTGGGGCCGGCTTCAGAGTGGGGGATGGTGACCACCCTCCTGGGCTTTGTCTGGTGGGATGCTGAGAGTGAGCCTGTGTGCTGTGTGTGCTGCAGGTGGGGAGACAGAAGAGGAGAGAATTCGTGTGGATATTTTGGAGAATCAACTTATGGACAACCGCATGGTGCTAGCCAGGCTTTGCTATAACACTGACTTTGTGAGTCCTACTCTGGGCTGGGTGAGGTGGGGGGACAGAAGTTTGTACTCTTGCCTTCTCATCTGCTCTGTGTGTTTCACATCTAAACTTCTTAGTGCTGCTCACCTATAAATGGTGTTCTGGACTGCAGTGGAGTCACATGGTACAGCCTGGGGGATGAGACGGGACTGTTTAAGGCCTTCTTGGTTACACAGCAAGATGTCTCAAAATCAAAAATACCAAAACAAAACCAACCCCTCCATGCACACACACACACACACACACACACACACACACACACACACACACACACACACACACACATCTGCCCACAGAGTGATCCTCAAACCTCAGAGTCTTGTCAAATGAGACTCCCATTGAACTTCACCTCCTTTAGCAAACAGAGCAAACCTCCACATTCCTGCCCTGGGTTATGTCTTCCACTTGGCTTAAATCATCACTGCTTTGTACACACTCAAACAAGCAGAAAAAGTGGTGCAACCTGGACACGGAAGAGCGTCAGCACCTGGGGACTGTTCCCAACCAGATTCCCAGAGCCAGGTCCAGGATGCCCATGGTGACAGGCAGATATTCCCAGCAGGCAATTCACAGCCAACCAACCCTCCCTTGTTTCCTTTCACCCTCTCAAATGCACTTCACCTTTTTTGAAACTGCACTCAAGTCCTGCCCTTCTCCTGTCACTTTACTATGGAGAACATGCGACTTCTTTTCCAGAACGCTTTAGTTGCTCTCTGCCTAACATCTGAGTCCCCAGCCTGCCCACACAGTCCTGAGTGTGACCCACAAGAGTGGTTCTGAGCATCGGTGGTGAGTCGCAGGGACAGTGTGCGCCTGTGTGCCTTCTCATCGTCTCTGCTATCGGATCTGGTGCCTGTAGGATCTAATCAGTGGTGACATAATAAATGAAAGCCTGGATTGACCCAGGCCCAGCCTCGGGAAGGTGGTTGCACCTCTGCCCAGATGAGGCCTTCACAACCCTATGGGCCCAGCCTGTGCCCACAATCTTGTGACTGAGGGTGGTCACAGTGTTTTCTGTTGTAGGAAAAGCTGAAGCCAGGGTACCTGGAGCAACTCCCAGAAATGATGAGGCTCTACTCTGAGTTCCTGGGCAAGCGGCCATGGTTTGCAGGGGACAAGGTAAAGAGAGGGGGTGGGGAGGAGGAGGAGATGCCGTTCTTCCCAGGTTACCAGATTCCAGCACACTCACTGTCGGCTTCCTGCAGATCACCTTTGTGGATTTCATTGCTTATGATGTTCTTGAGAGGAACCAAGTATTTGAACCCAAGTGCTTGGAAGCATTCCCAAACCTGAAGGACTTCATATCTCGCTTTGAGGTGATGCTCCTAATCTTCTTTCTTCTTCGACATCCTTCCTTTCCCTGATAGGTCCTTAGTCCTGGAACCATATTAAAAACAGCAGCTGGGTGGCAGTGGTGCACTCCTTTAATCCCAGTTCTCAGGAGGCAGAGTCAGGCAGGTGAGTTTGAGGCCAGCCTGGTCTACAGAGTGAGTTCCAGGACAGGCACCAAAGCTACACAGAGAAATCCTGTCTCAAAAAACCAAACTAAACCAAACCAAACCCAACAAAGCAAAACAAAAAAAACACCAGCAAAAACAGTAGCATTTATTGAGTGCTTGCTTTCTGGCAGGACCTGTGCTTAGCATCTTTTATCTATTGGGTGAAATTGATCATTATGATCGGCTTACAGGGCAGATTGAATTGTGAGTCCCGTTGGATAGATAAGGAAACAGACTATAGAGGGTAAGTCCCTCACTAGCAGAGGTTGCACTGGGGTCTCTTTTGTGTCTGGCCTCTAAGGTCGACAGGCAGTAGCTGTGTTCCTATTTTGCATCAAAAGGAAGAGCCTTTGGGCCCTTGTGCTGCTGTGGAAAAGGAAGAACATGGCAGGAGTGTGTAAGCCACAGGCATTCAGAGAGGGAGGCATGGTAGGATTTGTGTGAAATAGCCGTGTGTATACAATACTTACACCTGATCCTCAGAATGCTTCACCCCATCCGAGTCCATGCCAAACCCCAGGGCTGTTTTTTGGTGCTAGATTTGAGAGTGTATGTGGGCCCTCTTCAGGGTTGTCTTCTGAAGTGTTGTGTGGTGTGGGGCTTTCCTTCCCTCTCTTCTTCCCCGTGTCTCCATGAAGCCATGTTGTATTCATCTACTTATTTCCATTCCTATCCACTGGCCTTCTCCTCTATATGAGGCTCAGTGTCAGACCCAATGAGATATGGAAAGAACTCCATTCAGAGACGGAGTAGCAGAGAGCTGTGGACATAATAGACGTGGTACCAACTGGGTGCTGGGATCGAGGCTTGGCCCTCACGGCGCAGCCAGTCATGGGTCCCCCAGAGTCTCCTCAGCACCCACAGAATCTGTTCTTTTAGAGACTTGACAACTGCAGGCAGCAGAACAGCAGGTTTGTAGTCTGAAATCTGTTCCTTATAGCAAGCGATACATCTCAGCCAGTTCTCACCAGCTCTGGCTCTGGTCCACACACAGTGGCCTTGAAGTGTATCAAAATGGTGTGCTCATGGTAGGGAAGGATAAAAGAGCTGAGGGCTGCAGCCCACAGCCTGCTCCACCTGCCTCCTTGGTAACAGTCAGCTCTAGGTCTCTGAACACTGTAGGAAGTATCCGAGCAGGCTCTCCTGGTGGGATGGAACAAAACACACCCAGCGTCTCATTGCACGGTCCTCTGTAGTGGGGCTGGATATGAGGCAGCTTGGGGCACAGTGAGATGGGCCTGAGGTTGCACATAGAACAGGTTGGACCCCTGCTTTCAGGAGTGATTAGAGCTGCTCAGCACTCCAAGATGCCCCTCCCCCATTGTGCATTTCATCCAGGGTTTGCCAGGGAAGTCACTGGCTGGGGTCTGGGCTCTCTGTTCTGCTGCACTGGCCTGTTCTGGACCTCCTTGTCCTGTTACAGGCAGTTTGTGTGTAAACCAGCCAGGAGGATGTTCCCTGTGAAGAAGGAGAGTGTCTGTGAAGACTGGGAGTGGCAGGGTCTCCTGCAGGAGGACAGGAGGGGACTGGACTGGGCAGACAGGGCACAGAATGGGAGCCCTAGAGGCAGGCTGACTCAGACCCTGTCCCATGGACTAGCTGTGTGAGCAGGAGGAAGCCACCTCACCCCTCTGGACCTCAGCTTTTGCTGATATGTAGACACAGTGAGACTGATCTTAAAGGATCAAGTGGGTTTTCTGAGCATGAGCATAATCTATATGGGTCCAAAGTCCGTTGTTGCACAGAGTCTTTATAGGAAACTGAAGAGTTAGTTCCCTATACGGAACTCTAATACTAGAGCCTACGGGGAAAGCTGCTCCTGACATGGGGCTGCTTATCCCAGGAGCCACTGACCTGAGCTCCTGCTCCTTCTCACTCACAGGGCCTGAAGAAGATCTCAGACTACATGAAGAGCAGTCGCTTCCTCCCAAGACCCCTGTTCACAAAGATGGCCATCTGGGGCAACAAGTAGGGCCTTGGCAGGGTTGTTTTGCAGGGAGCCCTGGGGAGCATTCAGGACCTCTGTAGGCCCAGAGCCACCGTTTCCTTTTCCCTTCTTTTCCATCCCGTCCAGACCCCAAGTCTCATCAGCTCTCTTTTTTTGCTCATTCAGTGCCTGCCCAACATAGGTGCTTTAAAGCTCCAGCAACTCCTTTCCATGATCCAGGTACCCTTCTGCATCGCAGTGCCCCTCACAGACTCCAAGGTACCTTTCTGCACCGCAGTGCCCCTCACAGGCTCCAAGGTACCCTTCTGCACCGCAGTGCCCCTCACAGGCTCCAAGGTACCCTTCTGCACCGCAGTGCCCCTCACAGGCTCCAAGGTACCCTTCTGCACCGCAGTGCCCCTCACAGGCTCATGTCTGTGGATACTTGGTTCCCCACGGATGGCCACTTTGGGCAATTGTGGGCTCTCTGGCAGGTGGGGGTCTATCTGGAGAGAGTAGGTTGCTAGGAGCATAGACTTTGACCTTTGTAGCCAAGTCCTCTTCTGCTTGCTCTCTGTGTCCCGCTGAACATGTGTCACTACACGCTGTGACTCAGGCCTATGACTCGCCTCCCCTGCCACTTTGAGCTGTATCTCCTGAACCATGAACCAGAATAAATCGTTCTCCCCCTAGGTCATGTTTGTTTGGTACTTTGTCACAACAACAAATAACCAACGAGAAGCCCTATTCTAATGGACTCAGAACCTCTTCAGATGCTCTTCAACACTGAAGGCCATCTCCTTGGTCCTTCTGAGGTCTCTAAGTCAAAAGCCACACTTCATGGGGCCATGTGACTCTTCACGTTCTTTTCTACACACTGTTAGCTTAGGAGATGGTCGACTCAGATTCCTCCCTCACCAGTTCTTCGTTTGTGTCATGTACTCCCAAAGCAATTTCAAACCACACCAAAGAGTGAGCCCCCGGGAGATTTATTCAGGATCTCAGTGATTCCCATCCATGGTACCAGAATGAGGTGCTTTACGGTTAGGCATTCAGGCCAGGCTTGGTTGGGAGAATACGGCTACTCCACAAAGACTTCTTATCCAGAAACAGTATATCCAGAAAGATAACTTGCGAAACAGATCAAGGCTTGAACAGGCATTTCCTAAAAGTGAATATCCAATTAGCCTACAAGTCCGTAAAGTCACAATAAACACCAGTCATGGTAAACACTGTAATATCCTAGTACAGACCCACTAGAATGGCTAAGATCCAACAGGCTGGCAACAGCTGGTAATTTATGAAGCAATGGAACTTGCGTATTGCTGGGAGTATAACCACTTTGGAACATTGACAATGTCAACTGGTGTTGAGCAAGTAGACCTTTCACCCGGGACCGTCTCCCTGTGCTGTTGTCTTCCAAAAGCTGTGAAAGACTTATGCAAGGATGTGGGAAGCAGCTTAGTTTTCAATTTCACCAGCAGGAAATGAATAAATCAAGTGTAGTTTACTAATATAAAGCCATGATCATGTAATGAAATAGTATATCATAAGACAAATGGGGCAATGCTCTACACCACAGCATGGATGGATCTCGGTGACATAATGTTGACCGATGTTGATAATGACATAATGTTGATTCACACACATAGAAAGTACATCCTTCATCATTCCATTTAGATGGGAAGTGTGATTGATTGGGTCAAACGCATGTTGATTTTGGCAGGGTTGTTTATTGACAGGAACTTGTGGTGTGCTAGAAACATTCCTTACCTAGATCTGGATGGTAATTACATGAAGAATGCAGAGAGCAAATTCACATAGGTATACACTGAAGAGCTGTACATTTATTGCATGTGAGTTACACGTTGGTGGAAAGTCTGCGTATTGCATACCTTACTGTTCACATTTATTGTGTGCTTCTGCCCATGGATGATAACGACAAAATTGCATGTATTTTGGTTTCTTCTTGTTCATTAGTGTTCTAGTGTTCAAGGCCTAGAAAATGCCCAGATCATAGTAGAGACTTGACGAATGTCTATTTAACCACATCACTTCAGATTCTCTTGACTTTTAATAATGCCTGCTTTAATTGTGTGCACATACGTTCTTGCCAGGATCAGTGTGGCTTGGGTCCTAGAACCTTGACTGGGGCAGTGAGGAAATGGAGAAAGGACAGACACACATACAGTGAAACTGGGATCTGGTAGGGTTCTGCCACCACTATAACCTGGATCCTCAGCTTGTTTTTTAGGTAGAGCACAGGGGTGGGGTGAGCTAATCTAGATTGAAGGTCACTGTAATCATACAGTCTTAGGCTGTGAACATCCAGGAGGAGGAAACTACAGTTGCTAGTCTTTGCACACGCTGATCAATTGTTCATAAAGACTCTGACCCCAAGAAAAGCTTTGATGTTCCTCTTGAATCTGAGCCATAATGGTTCTGCCAATAGTCTCGTGGGTCTAAGGTCTTGTAGTTCTCAATGCAGCTGTGCCTGTATCAAAATAACGTTCACTCAGGACCTCGCTCACTTAGGGCTTCCTCTGTTCCCTACAGGTTCTGCTCATCCTGGCTTTAACATTCTATTTAAAACATTTTGGGGCTGGCTGTGTGGCTCATTGGTAGAGAGAGTATTTGCCTAGCACCCACAGGGCCCTGGCTGGGACCCCCTTGCCTGCCCAAGAAAGAAAAGAAAGGAAAAGAAAGACCATAATCTGTTCTCTCTTTCTCTGTCTCTCTCTGTCTGTTTCTGTCTCTCTCTGTTTGTCTCCCTCTCCCCTCCCCCCTTCTCTGTGTGATGTATATGTATATAGTGTGTGTGTATATGTGTGTGTGTGCATGCATGTGTGTGTTAGTTGCAAGTGTCTGTGTGTGAACATGTGGAGACCAGAGGTCAACAATGGGTGCCTTTCTCTATTGTTCTCTACCTTAAGTTTTAGGACAGGTTGTTGACTGAATCTGAACCTCTAGTTGGCTAGAACAGTTAGTGAGTGAACTTCTAGGATCCTCTTGTCTCTGTCTCCCAGCCCTGGATTACAGGGCCCAGCCCAAGTCTGCCTTATTAAAGTGGATACCAGGGATCCGAACTCAGGTCCTCACGCTTGCAAGCCAAGCACTTTACCCAGTAAGCCATTCTCTGGTCCCCGGCAGTGTCTATTTTTAAAAGGGGGACATATCAGCATTTCGCTTACATGTACTTTCATGAGACTTAGCTGCTATCTAGTAATCACACCTGTAGATAAAGCACAATTTTCCTAATCCTTCTCATGCTACAGGGCACCTCTAACCTTTAGCTTTTGTTACACCAGTACTTTTGCCTTTAAATGTATTGTCTCCCTTTTCTTTGGTTCCTGGGTTTTTGGTGATCCCCAAAGGATAGAGTCTGGGGCACATGGAAAGACCAGTTGTGTGGTGTTAGCAGAGATCATGTGCCTGTTCTATGAGTACATTGACAGTGTCACCAGGAAGACTTGTGGCCCCTTTCATGTGTCACCGAAGCACTGGAGTCCACTGTTCCACTTCTCAGTACCTTTGAAGTTTACAATGACTCTTTGATGCTTTTTGCCTTCATTCTTGGCTAATTGTTACTGCATGTACCCGTTTCTGCTTGATGGATCAAGGCCTACAAATCTCCCTGTGTGAAACTCATGTTTATCCAAAATTTCCCCAGGGCTTAGCCAATTGCTAGTGAACAGTTAAAAGATGAGCTGCTGGCAGTGAAGGTCTACTCTTCCCCTATAGCTCAGTGTTATGAATTGATATTCAGGGTCAGGGTTTCTATCATAAAATAAGATGCTTAATTTTTTGTGTTAGTTTGACTGGACAAATGGATGCCCACACAGCTGTGAAGACACTCTTCTGCTGTGTCTGTGAGGCTGTTTGCAGAAGGGATTAGTATGAATGAGGAGACTGAGTAGCGAAGAAACATCCTGACCGATCAGGCAGGTAGACATTCCATCCATCAGGGCCTAGATCTGATGGATGTTGGGGAAGTGTGAAATTGGTAGCTCTGTTCGGTGAGGACATCCATCTCTGGCGCTGGGAACTCTGTGCTCCTGGTCCTCTGGTCTTGGGTAAGCAGAGACTTACGCCATCTCCCTGTCACTCACTCCTCTGTCGTGGCTACCAATTCAGACACATTTAACAACCCAGGCAGTCTTGCTTCCTTCTGTTGCAGACTGAGGGTGGTGGGACTTCCTCCATCTCCATAGTCACATGGGGGGCTGCCGGGGCCTGGGACAGGCTGCTGAAGACTGCATAGGGGGCAGTTTTCTGACTAAAGAGTCACCCCCTCCCTACCCTGTACCCTAGAGGACTAGGCTGCCTCTCTGGGTACCCAACTCTCCATCTCTCCTTCTTATGTACAGCCTGATGCCCCTGGGGCAGGACAGTTTTCGGGTTCTCCCTGTGGGTAACTCCTCCTCCAGGGTCGTGTCCAGTCTGGTCCTCCACCTGCCAGCCAGCAATTCTCAAGTAGTTAAAATTCAATTGCAGGTTTTAACCCATTCATGAATCATAGACTGGGTCCTCCCCATCTTAATTACAAAAAGTTAGTGCGGTGGTGGCGCACGCCTTTAATCCCAGCACTCGGGAGGCAGAGCCAGGCGGATCTCTGTGAGTTCGAGGCCAGCCTGGGCTACCAAGTGAGTTCCAGGAAAGGCGCAAAGCTACACAGAGAAACCCTGTCTCGAAAAACAAAAAAAAAAAAAACAAAACAAACAAACAAACAAACAAAAAAAAGTTAGTGGAAATGGGGAATTTCAATAACTTAATTTTAAAGTAAGTTAAAAAACAAACAAACTCGGGGGGGGGGGGGGGGCGGGAGGGGGGGGGGAGAACAAGGGAATCCGTGGCTGATATGTAAAATTAAATTAAATTATAAAATTAATTAAAAAACTCTTTCTGCTTAATAATTAAAACAAACAAATAAGCAAACAGAAACAAAAAAACCACACACAGCATTTCATTTTACTGAAGTAGGTGAACAGACATTAATCATCTTGATATCAATATCAGAGTTTAAATCCATCACATATTTAACATTTGCTTTCTGCCAGGAGAAAAATCTGTTTTATCTTCCCGAAGATAAGAGGTTATTATCAGTTAGTACCGCTGCCTCTAACTAAACTCTAACGAAGAGGAACATGGGTGATACACATTTCTATAAATTGTCTATTTCATACACAATACATTATGTGTTATGTGTAAGCAGGCAGATAAAAATGTGTTTGATTTGTAAGATAAAATGAAATGTACACACTCTTCATAATAAAGAATAAGGAACTGAAGCTACTAGATCATATCATATCTTAATAAACTCTTTTTATCTATAAAGTAAGTCATGCATTATAGATAGCAGATAAAGTAAACGTGTCCAAGGATTTCAGCCTTTTTATCTCATGATAGTTTTTCCTTCTTTTCTTCTTCCTCTTCCTCTTCCTCTTCCTCTTCCTCCTCTTCCTCCTCCTCCTCCTCCTCCTCCTCCTCCTCCTCCTCCTCCTCTTCTTCTTCTTCTTCTTCTTCTTCTTCTTCTTTTGGTTTGTTTGTTTGTTTTTTGAGACAGGTTTCTCTGTGTAGCCCTGGCTGTCTGGGAACTGCTCCGCAGATCAAGCTGGCCTCAAACACACATATATTCCACCTGCCTCTACCTCCCAAGTGCAGGAATTAAAGACATGCACTGCCACTACCACCT